CCCCAAAACCCCAAAACCCCAAAACCCCAAAACCCCAAAACCCCGGATTATAGAATAAAATTGCCAAATCTTATTTAATCAGCATTATCGTAATTCTTTGTGATTTTGACTGGCAAACTTTCAGCAGCTTCATGTAGCTTTTCTAAGGCATTATTGAGCTTTAGAATATCGTGACTGAAAATCTGTAGAGTTGCTGAAGACTCTTCATCTTCTCTCTGGCCACAAGTTAGATTCATAACTCTGAAACTTGTATCAGCAGATTCTAAGATATCTAATGTGTCATTGAAGAACTTAGTATCAAATATGTGGCCACTAATACACAAAGAGGTGAACGAGATAGATCTTTTGAGTCCTTTTGATTCTCTCTTCATCTCCTTAATTTCTTCGTCCTCCTTCTTCTGTAGTTCGTTTAACTTCCTGAGCTGATCAATATACTTGTAGTTCTTCGTTAGAGCTCCATTGTAGCAAATAATAGAATTCTTCATGATATCTGATACACCCTCAATATCTTCGAATTTTGTATCCGAGTCTAATTTGAGCAATTCAGGCAAGAATGGCAAAAGATTCTCTCCAAATGTTCAACTTGACTCGATAGGCATTTCTGCAGGAAGGTGATCTACACAATGGTAGAGAATATCTCCGTCTTCATAGTCGCTGATTCTACTCTTAAGCTTCTGTGTCTTCCGACAGTAGAGGTTGAATGGATCTTCAATGTTGCTGAATTCTCTTGTGACTTCGATAGATCCCTCGTAGTCTGCAGAAATATCTGTAAATCCCATAAACTTAGTTCCAATGGCTTCACAAAGATCTTTTTCATAGATATTTCTGACGTACTTGGCATCCCAATATTGACAATTTACTAAGAAGGAGATTTGGTCATAGTATTTCTTGAACTTTGGCTTGTACTCTGATGGGTTATCATAGTAATGCTGAAGGTCGAACTCCTCTCCGTTTGGCTCTATTTTCTCAGCCAAATCCTTTTCTTTTAAAACAGTAATGTAGACCTTAGTGTTGTCATCCTTTGGGACAGAATCCAAATCATCAGGGTCAACATATTCATGAGGAAGAAGTTCCAAGATCTCACAAGCTCCACTGCCTACTCTTCCTGCTCCTGAGACAGCAAATACGTATGGAGCAAACTCTGGGGGAAGTCCTTTTGAAGCAATATTCTTTCCAACTTTTGTGATAGATTCCTTAATATCTTCAAGGTCAACATACATGTAAGTAGAGGCAACATTGACAAAGAAGGATTGATATCTTCTCTCTAGGAGGTATTCTCCAATTCCTCTCATGAAATCAACGACCCCAGCGATTCCGGCATATCTTCCAAAAGCTACTAATCTTTGTCCTTTATCTTTAATTCATTCGTAATCGATGAGCCTGATTTTGTCTTCAAGCATTTTATCAAGCAAAGGCATGTTATAATCCTGAGCTTTGATTGTGTGCGAGAAGAACATGTGAGTCTTTCCTGGGTATAGCTTATCCAATGGGATCTCCTTAACTCCAACAATTAATTGAGCCTCTGATAGATCTTCACTAATGATAGCTCCAGCATCCTCAAACTCTTTCTGTGTGAAACACCTGATAGTGGAAGGCTGCACTACAACTTTGATGCCTTGCTCAACAAGGACCTTAACTTCTTTAGGAGTGATTGCAACTCTTCTCTCCCATTTGTTCTTCTGCTCTCTTACAATACCAATGCACTTGCCTTTGGTTTCTTCCATTTCGATTGGATGCTTTCAAATTTATTTTGTTAATCAAATTCTTTGAGTACTAAAGGGGTTTTGGGGTTTTGGGGTTTTGGGGTTTTGGGG